GTCCAGGTAATCATAATAATAATGGGGAGTGAGCTCTAGAAGAGTCTAGGTACTGTTTGTAGTCTGGCTGTTATTTGTCCTTAAACAGACCCTTGTTATTCTTGTACTACAAAGGGGAGTCAACTACCGTGCTTGCACATAAATCGGCCGAAGATCCATCCACACCTCTCCCTGTTCCGCAAAATGTAGTCTTGGCCTAGTAACCTTTGGCTTAAACCCTAATAGCAAGTGAGCAACCTTGATATGTCGGTCAAGATCAGACATGTAGTTGCGCCAAACATATCACATGCAGCGTACTACAACATTCCTCCGTACACAGACTCTATTGAATAGAGTTATCATGCTAGGGGCCTTGTTCCTCACCTCTCTTCACGGGCGTGAGAAAAAAGAAGGTACAGTGAAAGAGGGGGCAGGGAAACCCTGTGAGAGCAGCTATGAGGTTATAATCAACAGATATAAATCTAAACTAGGTCTGCTGGACAGGAATGCTAGACGAGCAAACCAGTGACAGACATACATTATGGAAACCACCAAAGTTGTTATCTTGTTGACGATTGTTCTTCTCTACTACTGTGCCTCCATCCTCCGGAGACCCAAGCTGCCGCTTCCCCCGGGGCCTCCACGTCTTCCGCTGATTGGCAATCTTCACCAATACCCAAAATCGGAGCCATGGAAAACATACCAAAAGTGGCATAAGAAGTACGGGCCTGTGATGACACTCCAGTATGGCCCGCAGACGGTTATCATGCTAGGAAACCATCAAGTAACAAAAGACATTCTTGAGAAGAGAGGTGAAAAGTACAGCTCGAGACCCAGAATGGTTGTTGCGGAGCGGGTTACCAAGAACCTGCAGACGAGCGTGATGCCTTACGGCAAGCTATGGAGGATACACCGTCGTCTCCAAACCGCACTTCTCAACAACAGCACTTGTCAGTTCTACCACGAAATTCAAGACATCGAGAGCCACCAGCTCCTATTTGATATGTTGTCAACAAATGATTTCTCAGATCGCTTCCGGCGATTTTCGGCAAGTCTTCTCTTTACACTGGCATATGGAAAGCGGATGCCAAGAGGCGACGAGCATGAGGTCCAGGAGATCGACCTTCTTATCAAGAATATAATGGAAGTTGTTATGCTCGGTAATTGGCTGGTGGACCTTTTCCCCCTGCTAGAATACCTTCCTCGACAGTTGTCGAAGTGGAAACAAATTGCCGATGGGTTTCACGACCGGGAGGTCAAACTGTTTACCCAAAATCTGAGGGCGGCTCTAGAAAGAGGGAATTGGAATTGGACCAAAACCCTCATGGGGGTGCCAGAGGCGCGGAATTTAACCGAGAAGGAATTGTCATATGCCATTGGTTTCCTCTATGAAGCAGGGAGTGACACCACCACCTCTGTCCTCGAGGTATTTATGCTAGCGACAGTTCTCCACCCCGATGCGGTTCGGACGGCCCAACTCGAGCTTGATACCGTTGTTGGGCAGCATAGACTCCCTTCGTTTGAGGACATGTCCAACCTCCCTTTCACAATGGCATTTGTGAAAGAAGTGCTCCGGTGGCGACCGATAGTGACTGCAGGAGTTCCTCGGCTGGTTGAGCAAGATGACGAATACATGGGATACCACATTCCGAAAGGCTCTGTTGTTATTGCAAACAGCTGGTCGCTGTATCTGGACGATGATGTGTTTGAAAATGCCCAGTCATTTAGTCCGGAGCGGTGGATCCGTAACCCCAATCTACCGCTCAGCGGCTTTGGGTTTGGGCGGAGAGGTTGTGTCGGCAAGCACCTTACTATGAACTCTCTAAATATCATTGTTGCTAGGTTGTTGTGGGCATATGATATCAGGCCCGAGAAAAATGAGCTGGTGAATGCGTTGAGGATGAAGCAAGTGGGCCTGGTGTCAAGGCCAATGCCATTTCGCGCGTTATTTCAAGTACGGTCACCGAGCCGAGAGTTGGTGATACGAAGTATAGGAGCGAGTTCCCAGGAAGCAACTGATGAGATTCTGAATCGTATCCAAGCCAACATCGCTGGTGCTAAAGTTGTTTAGCTGGCGCTGGAGTCGAATGTAAGAAAGACTCTAAATCCTGTGGTTTCTCGTCCGAACGTTTGCAGCCATGTATCCTTTTAGTCAAGTACAGTATCGATTCTTGAATGATGTCAGTGTCTTTTACATTCTGATAGTGCTACTCTTATCATCAATAATATAATAAACCTGGTGATCTGACCTCACGACACAGGTGGGAAGATACTGAAGATACTAAAAGTCTCCTTAGTATAATTTGGAAACTATGTGCCTCCCAAATTGTCCGGTAGAAGACAAGCTTATCTAATAGTTCAGCAACATCTTTAATATATATATTCTTTTTTGTCTGTCGTGTCTCTTCTAGCCCTCTCTGCTTGGCCATAATAACAACAATGACCTATAGATTGTCAGCGAATAATGTATTTCTCTCAGTCAGGGTCTCGTCTAGTCTTGCTTGCTACACCGCCCACTTACATCAGTCCGCCAATCTGCCGGTCATTATCTGACCGCCCTCCGCATCCGTTGACGCAAGAAACAAAAGTGAACGTGAAGAAATGCTCCAACACCATCCTCGAGTGTTGTCTCTTGGAGGATTGGCTTGTCTGCTTGGCTTGGGAAGGCTTATATTGCTTTTCTCTTATCTTTTCATATCAGTAGCTTACAATTGACCTGTTCAAGCGGTGAGTTGTGTCGATTCTTCCTTTCCATTGATCGCTGTTCAAAGCTCGGTATCGTCATCGGCGGGGGTTCGTCGGTTCATGTGGTACGATGCTCTGGGTTATGGAAGACCTGGATATGGAAACTGATTCAAGCCCTCTGTAATCCCGAATTGATAATTTTTTTTTTTCATACCAATGCTTCAAGACTATGTTACTGGGCGCATTCCTAATATGGAGCCGCTAACCATTCGTAGGTCAATTGAAAACCATATATCTTGTCAATAATTGGATCCTCCTAGGATCATCCAATAGTAAATATGGCATCCAACTCAATCAATATTGCCTTCAGGTCTGCCGGACCTAGAGCCCGCGCCATTCCTTCTCTCCGCTGTTCTCAGCGACCGTCAATCCTCCACAGACAGCCTGTGTTTCGGCCAGCAAGCTTGAGGTATGCCTCGGAAACTGCCGCGGAGACAACGGAGGCCGTGAAGGAGGCACCTAAGAAGGCAGGCCGGGGACTCCGGAGGACCGTGATTGGTACCTCCTTGGCTCTTACCCTTCTAGTTGGCTTCGTGTATGGAACGGATACTAGGGCTAGTGTTCATAAGTATGGTGTGGTCCCTCTGATTCGGCTGTTGTACCCTGATGCGGAGGATGCGCACCATATTGGGGTGGATGCTTTGAAGAATCTTTACAAGTTTGGACTTCATCCAAGAGAACGGGGTAACCAGGACGGTGATGGCGTCCTCGCGACCGAGGTAATGGCTTTTTTTTGCGGTGGAGTCTTAGAAGATTGAAACTGAATAGTTTGGGGTTTTAGGTCTTCGGATACACCATTACCAACCCGATTGGTATTTCCGCTGGACTTGACAAGCACGCTGAAATCCCGGACCCTCTCTTTGAGACCGGGCCTGGAATCGTCGAAGTGGGTGGTACCACCCCGCTACCTCAAGAAGGTAACCCCAGGCCTCGTGTCTTCCGGCTCCCGTCCCAGAAAGCTATGATCAACCGATACGGTCTCAACTCCAAGGGCGCCGACCACATGGCAGCTGTTCTACAGCAGAGAGTTCGCGACTACGCATATGCCCATGGATTCGGATTGCATGACTTGGCCGAGGAGCGTGTCCTGAACGGTGAAGCTGGTGTTCCCCCAGGCAGTCTCCGGCCAGGAAGACTCCTCGCTGTTCAAGTCGCAAAGAACAAGGTTACGCCAGATGCTGACATCGAAGCCATCAAGCGTGACTATGTGTACTGCGTTGATCGGGTGGCCAAATATGCCGATATCCTCGTGGTGAATGTTTCGAGCCCCAACACTCCCGGTCTGCGTGATCTCCAGGCGACTGCCCCTCTTACCGCCATCCTGAAGGCCGTCGTCGGCGCAGCAAAGAGTGTCGACCGCAAAACCAAGCCATATGTCATGGTCAAGGTCAGCCCCGACGAGGACGCGGACGAACAAGTCTCCGGTATTTGCGCCGCAGTCCAGGGCTCTGGCGTCGACGGTGTCATTGTGGGGAACACAACCAACCGCCGCCCTGAGCCCCTGCCGAAGGGCGTAGCCCTCCCCCCGAAAGAACAGACCACCCTGAAAGAGACCGGTGGTTACTCTGGCCCTCAACTCTTCGACCGCACAGTGGCCCTAGTAGCTCGGTACAGGTCTCTCCTTGACCAAGCGCCCGTTACGCCGGAACTCGCCGAAGCTGCCCAGGAGGCTACTACGAAACTAGTACAGGCGGAACCTGGCTCGGAAAACGTTCCTCCAGTGGAAGCGCCTAATCCCGCTAACCGGGTTCCCCGTAAAGTCATCTTCGCTTCGGGAGGTATCACCAACGGCAAGCAGGCTCAGGCTGTCCTTGATGCTGGTGCCTCCGTTGCTATGATGTATACGGGCGTTGTGTATGGTGGTGTCGGTACCGTGACTCGTGTAAAGCAGGAGATGCGCGAGGAGAAGAAAGCCTAGAAGATTTTAGATGCGAGTGACTGTTTTTGAGTAAAGTATATGTAAATAGTATTCGGCAGTCCTTTGACATTCGTTCTATAAAAGCTAGAAATATTTGATTTCAATTTGACCTTTCCACCCCTCAGAGTTTTGAGTCTATACTTGACAAAGGAGCATCCGAATTCGTCCACAGTTATCCACATGTACCCTATTTCAGGAACAGTATAACATTAACAGAGAAGAGGAGAAATGAAAGATCATAATAATCTAAGCTCGTATACTTCGTCAATCCGACCGCAGAACCATGGCTTTTGCCCCCTCTATGATATGCACATGCAGTTTGATCATGAAAAATGGATTACTATGAAGAAGAAAGAAATCAAGCAACGTTCAACGTCTCCTCGACTTCCCTGACCACCTTGCGCACACCCTCGATCTCATGGGCAAATCTGCCCAGGAACATGCCGTCAACGGCTTTCCCCAGACCGCCCGCGCCCCACAGGCCCGGCCCGGCGCTTCCCCCATACAAAATACGGACGTCACCAGGACGCTCCCCAATCGCCGCCTTGATGCCGTCAACCACGGCAGAAATGTGATCGACTCCGGCCGGCTTGGGCTGTCCTATCGCCCACACGGGCTCATAGGCGAAGATCACAGGGGCATGGGCGGGGATGGCCTTGAGGACAGCGCGGACCTGGACCTCGCACTCGCGCACGGCGAGCCCAACGGCCTGGGACGCAACGGGGCCAGGCGCTGTGACCTCGCCAATGCACACGAGCGGCACCATACCGTGGGCAGAGGCCGCGGCGGCCTTGCGACCTGTCTGGTCGTCTGTTTCGCCAAAGAGGGAGCGGCGCTCGGCGTGGCCCAGCTCGACGATGGACACGCCCATGGAGCGGAGGGCGAGTGGGGACACTTCCCCCGTGTATGCGCCCAGCGGCTCCCAGAAGCAGTCCTGGGCGCCCAGGAGGAACGGGGGTGGCAGGGTCTTGGCCTCCTGAGGGGCTAGGCTGGCTTCATAGTTTTTGATGATTTCGTTGCTGGGGTAGATGGTCAGGAAGTCGGGGATCAGGGCCAACAGGAGCTTGGAGCGGTTCGCTGGCCGTACAATGTCGTTTTGGGGGTCGAGGAGGGCGCGGAGATAGTCTAGTGTCCGGGTGGGTGTAAAGTACATCTTCAGGGAGATGATGAGTAAGGTGCTGGGTAGCACCGGGTATGTTTGCTCCGTAGCGGCGGCCATTTTTTTTTGCTTCTGCCTCTGGTTTTCTTTGTTGTCTATGGTTCGCTGGAAATCCTGGTCGATTGCGAGCCGCTAGTTTGACGCTCACACGCAACGCTGGGTGGGAAACTCGTAATTCTTGGGAGTGTTTGGATATAGAGAACCACTCTGGTGTGATCCCTGAGATAACCGCCGCGACGCTAGAACTCCACTTTAGGCGACACGGAAAGAGACTGAGTCGTTCCTGTAGCCGGGGAACCAGAAGTACGATTGTATTTGTTGGGGAAAGTGGAACAAATCTCCGAAACACGAAAATAACAGGGAGACGACGGTTGAACTGAGGGGAATTCTGCCAATCAACTCGGTCAGTGCGATACGCGGGAGTCTTTGGGGTTGTGTCGTCGTCCAGTGAGTGCAGTTGATTTGGACCTAATTAAATGGCGCCTGAGGCCAAATGCGGCTGTGAGCGGACGAAAGTCTGGGACTAAACCAGGAGTCTCGGTAACCAAGTGGGCTTCCCCAGCGACAGAAAGAGGAGACAGTCGATCGTCCCACGCGAATGCATCCCCCAGCGGGTGATGTCACTGGCTGAATGGGAGAGATTTTGTGGACCAACTATGGGGATGCACGCTGTCAGATCATGGAATCGCGAGATGTCATATGTAGGTGAATTCTTAGTATATTTATGGAGGCCGGGAGGGTGTGATAGACCAGCGTATACCCCAGTTCCAGTTGGGACTCCGAGGAGGGACGTTGGCGACCATAATAACTGTTGGCGGGGGAAGGGTGTGTGTCCAGGAGGGGTCACTGGAACTAGTTATGAAACCATCGTCACAACCGATCGTTCCGATATGAGGCCAAGCCGTGAGGTCAGAAATTGAGGCATCCAAGCCGCGTGTATGGATCAATACCGAACGCCATGGATGGGATGTACTGTTGCGTGCATTCCGAGTGCCGCATGGACCTCCTGGTTCGACGAGTGACGGTAATTTTACACGAGGCACCAGTCCTCATGCGGTAAGTCTGCCTGAGGGCCTGTTTGCTGACTTTTGCTGAGATTTCCTTTTTGGTACCCTTGATGCCTCGCGGCCTAAGGACGTTATGGTCGATCGGATGGCTGTGGGCCACCAATTAATGAAATGGGTTTGGTTCGAAAGGTGGAGTTCCCCCAGTACAGTGGGAGAGAGCCGAGCCGGGCCTATTCTGCCCCAGTCCTTTCGGGAGCTCCTCTTTAGGACATGCGAGATCTCCTGCACTCAATAGCTTGACTGAGAATTTTTTTAAAAAAAATGGAGACGAGAGGTACACATGACCTCTATATACCTACACTTGGGAATTCGCCAGGCAATCTGAGGGTCTGGAATCCAAATCTCGAGTATCATGTGCTGGGTTCGATTTTTTCGACGCCCACTAGTGCCAAGCAGATACACGCAGGTATCCTGCACTAGGCCAAGCGAAGGAGTAAATCGTTACCGTGAAGGTGCCCACCATCATTGGTGCCGTGCTGAATTCAATTCTATCTCTGGCCACATTAGTCTATGCACGTTGATACGAAACTGGTCTCCATCTGATTAACCAATCCGAAAGTACGGTCCTTGGTCGGATTCTCCTGGAGTCCTGGACTTTACTCCTTTGGGCGTGTCCGCAGCAGTCCTTACAATCCGTGGGTACCGAGTTTGTCGCACCCACCTGCCGGTATGGTCCAACAATTAGAGATACCCCGGAGTCACAGCCCTTGTGGGGAACCTACTATTACCCATAGTGAGCGAACATGAATCCAAAGGATTCTTCAAGCGCATTGACGTTGGTGTAGTGCCATCTCGTCAGCGGCTGTGTTGGGAGGGGTTGGAGGGCTTTTTGCAGAGGATACTGCTGAACATTCCGGCAGAACTCTAACATGCAGACGGCAAGTTTCTCGACGGCCTCGAAAAGGCCAGATAATCCCGCTCAATACACACAGGGTTGGTGGTTTGATTTGATTCCGTTCCCTGGCAGTTTTTGATAGGAAACTAAGGCCTTAGGCTCTCGGCTAGCCTGATCGGGAAAAGTGGATGGACTACTATTGGCTACACGGGCTGCAGCCATGTAAAACACGCCCCACGAGACATCGGAAGGATTGCAATTCATAGTAGCTCCATTGACAAGGGATCTCATTATGCAAGGGCTCTCTCTCTCTCTCTCTCTCTTTGACTTCGTAATAGAAAACGGAGGTGGCGGCGCCATGACCGGGTAGATATTGACTTCGCCGGGAGCTTATACTGTAAGTCAAATGGAAGTACCGAGTAATACCAACATGGTTGTTATTTAGGAAGCTTTGGCGACCAAATAGAATGTGATTGTCCCCTAAAATATCCGAATGCTGCCTACACAATATCACGTCCATTGGGCAATGATTGGACCATTCAGCTTCTGGTACTATTTCACCTCATCAGCCACACAGGTTTTAGTTCCAGGAGTTCCGATTCCGAACCCTCCATCATACCCATGTAAAGCTATGACGCCACCCGTGGGGCAGTTGGAACCAGACATCATTCTCGATGCGTCGTCCTTTGGATCCTGTTACGGTGGGGAGGTCTGTCGAAAGAGAAAGCACGGGCAATTATTCCCTTATGCTTTAACCCAATCAATACGCCTGCCCGGCGCCGAGGTTTGGTTCGATTGTGAGGCACGGTGCAACCTTCCCCAGATGAGAAAGAAGAGCTAGAAACCTAGTTTGGCCGGGGAGATAATGGAGGGGGACGGGACTGACTTTCTAAACTATATAAGGATCCATGATTCCTGCCGTCAGTCCCATCCTTCCTAATCACCAAGACAATTCCCTCCAGTCTCATTCACTAATTCAATTCCTCTTTTTCTCAATCCCAAACTAAACGTCGAAGTCAATTGACTCTTATACCCCAACTATCAAGATGTCTGCCGATCTGAAGCCCCTTCGCATTGTCATGGCCTGTGACGAGGCTGGCCAGCCCTACAAGGAGACTCTTAAGGCTGCCCTCGAGAAGAACCCTCTGGTTGAGTCCGTCGATGATGTTGGTGTCAACTCGACCTCTGACAAGACTGCCTACCCTCACCCCGCCGTCGCCGGTGCAAAGCTCATCAAGGAGGGCAAGGCGGACCGTGGTCTCTTCATCTGCGGTACGGGTCTGGGTGTTGCCATCGCCGCCAACAAGGTTCCCGGCATCCGTGCCGTCACTGCTCACGACTCCTTCTCCGTCGAGCGTGCCATCCTGAGCAACGACGCCCATGTCCTCTGCTTCGGTCAGCGTGTCATTGGCATTGAGCTCGCTAAGAAGCTTGCCAACGAGTGGGTTACGTACCGCTTCGATCCCAAGAGCGCATCTGCCGCCAAGGTCCAGGCCATCTCCGACTACGAGGCCGAATTTGCCAAGGCTCAGTAAATCTTTTGATAATGGCGCTTCAAACCATGCGCGAGCGAACGGATCGCCTGCCGACGATGCCATCTTAACGACGGCGCTCATGGCGCACCGTTAGATCATCGGGATTCGTTTGGTCAAGGCATCCAACCACTTCTCCCTTACACCGTGTTCTCATACCTCTTCCGAGCCACGGGACAGCATCCTGATCAGGGTGGACTGCTCCGCGAGCTTTTGTTTAATAATATTGCATTCACAAAATAAGTCAACGATACCACGAAGCGATTGGAATGAATTTGGCTGGCCGAATTTCTGTTGTTTTGTTTTACTCCGTCCTGGCTACTAGTTACTAGATCGCAGGGTTAGGATAGAATGAATATTATCTTTTCGAACAGTACCGCTATCCCATCACTAATAACCACCTGAGTCTACAAATTGACGAAGTAGTTCCGAACCATTGCAGTACCAACACATAGTTCCATAAAGAGTTAGAACCCCCCAAAAAAGAACGTTGCTGACTGATCCGATATCCTCCGCCATCTTTCTTTATGCATCGATCACCTTCGATCTCAAGAAACAGCAACGACACTCTTAAATCATGGATACACATTCCCTCGTTCTCATTCTTCACCCGGTCACACCGACTGAACACAGTCAGACTTACCGCCCGTCAATCATTGGGCTGACACCATCCGGGGCCTACCCGACGACACCAACAACCACTACATTAGTAGTTTCAGAACCCAGCTAACTGCCATCCCGCTCGCTTTATAGCACAAATACCCCCGACAATAACAGGTAGATTCCTAGGGTCAGCGACAACCTCCGCACCCAAAGCGTTGGCATCGGATCGCAACACTCGTTGCCGTCTAATCATTCTTTTCCAGCGGTTCTATATAATTCTGTTCTTTTCTATCTTTAGTTCGGTCCCAGGAGATCACTTAGTTGCGGACAACGTGTGGAGCGCCCCACTCCAATTTGGCCGATAATCGCTTTGTAATTCAACTTCACCAAAAAAAAAAGGTACCAGGAAAGGCGCATCGCACATTGGATACTGTGCTTTCCCATTCTTGGTTATATCGAATCAAGTCATACGATCTAGACGATGGCGTTTGAATTGAAGGAGAAGGGTAACCAGCTCTTCAAGGAGGGCGATTACAATGGTGCCGAGGAGCTGTATTCGCAAGCGTGAGTCTCGTTGATTCTATTCAATTTATGTGCATCATTCCCAAGAAAAGGATAAAAGAAAAAGGGAGTCTTTTTTGTATCTATATATCTGAAAATAAAGACCACTCCCCCCAGGCTAATCGCCAACATGGCACAGAATCCACAAGAATCCGCGCGAACCGACGTTCTTTACGAACCGCGCTCTGACTCGGACACGGCTCGAGAAATGGGCGGGCGTGGAGCAGGATGCGCGCGCTGCGATTAGTCTGTATGGGCCCAAGAGCGCCTCCAGCCTGAAGAGCTGTTGGTACCTGGCGCAGGCGCTGTTGGGACTGCAGCGTCCGCAGGAGGCGTATGAGGTGGCTATCGATGCGTACCGGGCGAGCCTGGCAGCGAAGAACGTGCAGACGGAGAATTTGTCCAAGGCGGTTCTGCGCGCGAAGCAGCAGATTTGGGCGCACAAGGAGGCGGCGCGGCTGCGGGAGATGAATGCGACGCTGGCGAGCGTGGAGGCGCTGATTGAGTCGGATTTGAACCGGACGTTGGCGGAGTTGCAGGGCAAGTTGGACCGGGAGGAGATTGGGCAGATTGGGTTTGTGGAGGATCAGAAGGCGCTCCGTGAGGATGCGGAGAATCATACGCAGAATGTGAGAGATGCTTTCCGGATTGCATCCAACGGGGATATCCAGGAGAGGGTAAGTTTTGTCTATCGCAATCGGAATGGCTATGGTGGTACTGCAGTGGGACTGTGCTAACTGTGTGTGGCAGGTTGTACCCGATTATCTGGTCGATGGGATCACCTTCGAGATCATGCACGACCCCGTTATCACCCCATCTGGGACCAGCTTTGACCGCATCGGCATCCAGAAGTACGTTGAGCAGGCAGGGGTCGACCCGATTACTCGGACGACTATGACGGTCAATGACCTGCGGCCAAACTATGCGCTCAAAGCGGCGTGCGAGGAGTTCCTGGACAAGAACGGCTGGGCTGTAGATTGGTAGTGGAATTTTGCCTTCTAACCTATTGCTCTTTTTCTGTTTTCTGTTTTCTTTGTTTTCTTTATTTTCTTTTTTGGTCTGTACTTGTTGTTTTAGCTGTATGTGTGTGTTGCAGCGATGAGTTACCCTATTTTGCTTGCATAGTGGCGTTTGGGGATATTGAACGATATGAATGCCTGACATGAATACACAACCTCCAACCACACAGGATCAGAAGAATTCCTACGTCCAAGTAATAGACTCACTCTATACCATCAAGAGCTAGCCAGAAAGAAAGAATTAGTAAAATCACATCAGGTGCCACCCATGTGAGTCCCAACAAACAAGTCACCAAGAAATTACCCCACCAAAACGCAAGCAAACAAATTCCCCCCCCACTTTCCTCTCCCCTCACCCAAAAACAACAAAAGCCTCACCTTCTCTGCATCCAAAACATCCCCATTATCACCACAGAACCCACCTTCTCAAACAAAATCAAAATGTCCGTCGAGGCCTTCTTCGAGAACTTGAACTTCGCCCAGTCCGGCGCTAAGTTCGCCGAAATCCAGTCCGCCGCCGCTGGCATCAACATCGATCTTCTCAAGGCCGCCGTCGAGGCTGTCCTCGGCGGCGATGACAAGGCCACCGTCGAAGGCCCTCTGGCCGATGCCCTGAAGGCTGGTTTCGAGTTCGCGACTAAGCTTGTTAAGATGCTGAGCAAAGAGCCTGGTCAGACCGAGATGCTCACTGTATGTCCCTCATCCTCTCACACACACACACACACTCTCTCTCTCTTCTAGGTTTGGGTTGCAGCCGACGCTGATGGGTGAATGAATAGTTCTACAAGTACTTCAAGCGGGCCCGGAACGAGACCCCTGCTGAGCCCTCGTTTTACCAGCTTGAGGTAAGTTGTCTTTTTTCTTGTTGTTTTTAGTTATTTTCTCTGAGAATGGTGACTGACCGGTGATTTATTCTTCTCTGCAGTCGAAGTACAAGTACAACGCCTGGAAGGAGATCAGCCACATCAGCGACCAGAAGGCCCAGGCCTTGTACATCAAGGAGGTTAGCGCAGCTATTGAGAAGTACGGTACCCGCGAATAAGTGTTGGGTTTGGTTGTCTTGAACTAGGGAGGAATATGAACTTGGACACTATGGGCTTGGTGACGAGTTACGAACAATGTTAGATTACTGCCTTTTGCTGTTATCTACATGCTTCTAGTGCATATACAGATTTTGGTTCGTTTGATTCCGGTAGCATATGGGCTAGTCGAGTGTCCACGTTTGGCCGAGCCAGTCTGGTTCAGAGTGTTGCGCTGTTGCGCACCAGGGTGTGTCGTGGGCTGTGTAGGGCGTCAGGGGGAGGTCGTAGGGCATGCGCAGGCCGATTACTGTGTCTGTTGTTTGTGCGCTGTCTTTGTTTTCGAGAGTTTCGGGAGTGTCTCGTTTGAAACTGGGGACCATGGTGGCGGACTCGGCGTCTTTGACGTATAGTTGCGGCCATACGATGACCCCTATCTCCCAGCTGCAGATCCTTACCTCCCCTGAAGCGTTGATGGCTGCGCCCCATGCCTGTGTAGAGAGATTCGCTGAGGTGACCATTGCCCAGTCAATGGTGTCCATTTTCTCTGCATCCGAGAACCGAATATATGTTTTGATATGTGGCGCAGCTCGACGACGGCCGGCGTCTTCTTTGGATGTAGGACTCGGCTCTGCCGCGTCATGATCACCCGCCCAGTGCCGAAGGTACGGCCGCATATACTGCAGTTGTTTTTGCTGCGCTGCGCTCTGGAGTTTCATGTGGATTGACCCACCAGAGCCGTAGCCGTTCAGGGAACGGCGGATTTCATCGGCTGTAGGGAAAATGATGGAGTACTTGGGTTGTCGGGTAGATGCTGAGACAGGCGAAAGGGATGCAAACAGGACATCTGTCAGCCACTTATCTGTCTGTCCAAGTGTAGCAACGGAGGATATCTACGCGTGTCAGCACGCAATGAATGCGATATGTTGATATAGCTGGACCAACCTGAGTAACAATATGCGGTGTAGGAGCTTCCCTGTTCTCCTGAGCCGGAGGGATGTGGTGTGTGATATCCTTCAACGCAGGCCAACCCCATAGAGTCTGCTTCTGCGAGTTGAGACCGTTGATCTTCTGCTTCGACGGCACACTAGCCACCAGGGCGGCCCGAATAGCTCCAAAACCGTACTTCCGAAGCTGTTCGACCAGCGGACCTGTCTTTTTAGGCCCATACTCACGCAGGTATGCCAGCAGGTCTCTTTTAAACCGTGCACCGCTGCCCAGGGCTAGGTCTTCTTCCAGACCATCTGTCGTTCGCAGCGGCAGCAGAGGCGACCTCCAGACCGCCTGAGACATATTAGCCCAGTCCCCGGGGATCATATTCGCAGTATGAATGACAACCCTAACAAGGTTAACCAGGACGAGCCCCACAGCCCAGAAGAATGGTATAGTTACATACTGCGCCAGATCATCATGTCTCAGTAGAACCATCATCTTCGAATGATGCGTGCCAAAGGCCTCCGGCATGTAAGCCACAATAGCCTCCACGTTGGGGTATCGCGAACACGCTTCCTGCGCACACACGATCAGTACTTCCATAGGCCACAGTCCCCAATCAAATTAAACCCACGCATCCAGGATACAACGCAACATACATCAATCCGCACCCGGTTCGGCGCATCCCTTTTCCAAGACCCATGCACAACCTTCACCTTCACCAAGCGCCTCACATCCTCGTCAAACTGGCTCATGATGAAATCCACATCGTGCAGGTAGTTAAACTGCCAGCATTCGCGGATCATCGGATCCCCGAGGATATCTCGCAACCGCACCACGTCCACATTGTTCCCTGAGGACGCGGCGAGATCGCGGATGTGGGTTAACTGGAACGGGGAGGGTATTACCCGCTGTTTTGGATTGCTTTCTCGTTCTCCTGCAGGCTGAGGAGGCGGGACAGACTGCGATTGGGATCTCCTTTGGGGTGGAGATGGGGGCGTGATGGATCGGCGGAGTGATGCCAGCCCTGGGATTTGGGGGTCCCGTTCTGCGGATTCGTGGTTGTTGTTTTCTACTGCGGCACCGGAACTTAGTTTGAGGCGCTTTGCGGGATGGTCGCCGGCCATTGTTGCACTCTCGGCCCTTGCGTGGTGCTGGAGTTGTGGCCAGGCGGTTGTTGGTGTTACTATTTGTTGATACGGCGGTCGATTCAATGTAATGAGGAGCCTCAGGCCACACGTCATGCCAAGTCTTGGGATAGAGGTGGATGCCCTATGTAGTGGCATGGGGGAATGCTGGATAGAAGACGATATTAGAATTCTTGGAAGAGTGTAGGACAAAGACCGGTTCTTTCTGGTCTTGTCTGTGCATAGTCTGTTGCCACTCGCTAGGACCTGGTTTCTCGCTCGGCTGCCTCAAGATATATATATAGTACTACCCTACCCGTCCAAGGTTCCGCAGTGGATGTCACATCCCAGCTTAGTATGTCTATAGCTAGATATTGTAAACTTACATATAGTTATGCTTAAGCTGAGGAAAATAAACCTGGACTTTCAAGCAAGACTTCTTATTGTATATCATTCCCTAAGTATTTGGAGTTGGCCCACAGACTCATAGCCAGTTACCATACTTCCCGGAGTATTACCTGCTATGTCAATATAGATTGTTTTAGGGCATCATTTCCAGCTCCCGTGCTCGCATCTGCAAACTATAGTGTCTACCTCCTAACCCGTTCCTAATACTCATAACCACCATCTCAAGGGACACACGGTGTCCTACCTACCGTATACCCTCTTCGTCGACACTCTTTCCTTCGATTACTTGCTGAGTTTCGCAGGGCATCCTAGTACTTGTCTTTGACATACGGGCTGGTCCATGATAGAGATTCACGTTTTCCTCTACCCGCAAGGTGACTGAACCAAGAGTGAATATTATTTGGTAGCCCGGCAGTAACTAGGGCCCGCTGATGGTCAACATAAGAGTCAGATGAAATTTTGGGGTATTGTGTATCGATCTATTGAATGTGACCTGGAGTCCAGATGGATAATCACTAAGCAATAACAACATCTAATATACAGCCATTTTACAATTACACGGGCTTTCTCTAATCTATATATACAGCGCGAAACTGCTCACAATTAATAATAAAACAATGTAGGGAAGATAAAAATATCAAAGCGATCACCACATGAACCGTTGGATCTTTCCAGGCTCCTGCGGCCACTCGAAACCCTTGTAGAGGAAAACATACCCGGTCACAGCGTCGATGACCAGGAACCAGAAGGTTTCCAGGAAGAGTGGGAAGTTGGTGGCGATCTTCGCACGGAGCGCTTCTTTCGCATCCTGAGGACGCTGCTCCCGGTAAACAAGCGGCGTGGGTTGCCGGGGGAGATGCAGTCGCCACATAACCCAGGGGATTATGAAGTATCGTGGCTCAACCAGTGGCGCAGTGATCAGTGAGAGAGCCGTGGCGGCAAGCCAGACAAGGACAAAGCTCACTCGCGGCGCATTCGGTTGCTGCAGTTGGCGTTGCTTGATCGCCTCTTGGATTCTCGCGAAGGCCTCCGGTGTTATCTGTTGTGTTTTGGGAGGCTGAGTGACTTTCTTAGCAGGCTTTTTCTTGCTGTCGCTCTGTTTTTGAACCTTTTGAGCCTTTTGACCTTTCTGAACAGCTGGCTGAGAGGCCGGCGTGGGCTGTGAAGCTTGGACCAATCGAGGCGGCGGCGCAATAGTCGAGAAGCCAAAGGCAGAAACAACCGCCCAACCGCAGAGGAAGTAAACAATAGTCGCGGCATATTTGACAGCTGGGTGAGTCCGGAGAAGAATGCGAAAGACGTAGAAGACATAGTGACGGTTGTCGGCGAGTGTGAAGGGGTGAACGATAGTGTTGTAGTGAACAGTGGCCAGCATAACAGGGACGATCGTGAGGAATGTCAAAATCTTGGGGAGACCCGTCTGCTTCTCGGAAAAGCCATAGTGCATGAACTTGGGCAGAGAAATTTTGGGCAGGATCATATTTGCAACCGGCGAAATCAGGATCGGCCACGAGAAGAAGAAGACATAAGGCCAGATATACAGCATCTGAGGCAGATGCAGGCCCGCAGCATGGAATTCTTTGTGTCCTGATATATTTATGAGACACTGAATACAAGTAGATCATCGCTGAACTTACCCAGGACAACCCCATTATTCCACAATACAAAACCTCCGAAGGCCGCAAGAATAACAACATATGGGATTGAGGAAATAACAACCTGTCCCAAGTTACCAAGCGCAGCAGTACAGAGGGAAACGGCGGTTTTAAAATAGTCTAGAGCTCCATTAGCAACCTATAGAATATGAAATAAAGGTAACCCACCTGCCAACGAAGCCTCTGATACCTGAGGGTCATACAACTCGTTCTTGAAGCCTCCTTTGGCAATATCGGCAACATTCGACGACTGACATGTCTTGGCCGATCTCCGCAATGTCCGGATGACCTGCAATCCACCGAAGAAAATCGCGACCCAGAAGATGTTGGTCTGTCTAAAGGCTAGCGCAGCCACCCCCAGAAGGATGAACACAAAGGTCTGGCTAGCGGAGGCATTCGGAGTCGATCGTTTAAGGTCCCAGTTGTACGCTTCAATTACAACCAAAAGGGCAAGGATATCAGTATAGTAGAGGCCCGAGAAGAAGAACAACGGCGGAAAGAGACAGATGTTCAGTACAGTGTGGCTTAGCCACGCGCCGGATGGACGGGTATTGCGTTCTTTCCGTAGGCTATCTAGCAAGGTCTGCAGTCTCAAGGGCAGGAAGACGGCAGCGGCGGCAACATTGGTTGAACGGAGTGCTTCCGCATTGAGCTCCGTCGGAGAACCTCGAAGCAAAAGCGCGCAAGCGCAAAGAAGATACGACCAGAGGTAGAGACCAGGGGGAGTAGTGATTTTCGGATCCCAGTGCGTCCACTTGTGATGCCAATATTCTTGAGCTTGAGGAATATGGAAAGCTTCATCCAGATACGGCTCCGGAACCACGGTATTGACCCGATTCATCCATACAGGTATTGAGAGCAAAACAAAAGGAACCGCATAGCGGGCGGCAAGAACCAGGCCCGACTGAGGCTGAACGGCACTCATAGTGTTGACTTGGACCAATTGACCATGAAGCTGGAATGATTGAAGTAAAGAGTGGAATCATGAAGTCAGTAACAACTTCATAAATTAAATTGACCGCGGAGACATTAATCCTGCAAACAGAACAAACACCCACCGCATTGGGCAATTCTATATCCCCAGCTTTATCCATGGTCTAGACGCTGCGACGACCATCGTTGTCTCCTTTGCTGAACGTTTTCGATGATATGAACGATTGTCGCTAGGTCTTGTGCATCGCGATAAGTTGTTTTCCCTGTGTTCCCTGAAATCTTGACGGCCAATGGCCTTTCCCCTCCCGCGGGGCATTACGCCCCCGGAGATATCCTTTCTTGCTGAAATGGAGATGGTCACCATTCTTCCTCGTCAACGATTGGAGGGATTGGAGCTTCTCGGGGTAAGTATCATGTTCTGTACTCATGTTGTATTCACGGATAAGTCTCCTACCCATCTGAATCCTGTATACCAAGCAAAAAAGCCCAATGAGTGAGAAAAGACGGTGGGGCAACATTGATAGAAAGAATATATCAAATCAGTATTCAGTCTACTTGAGGGTCTACACACGTCTAACATGATGGATCAGGGCCCCATTGAGCCTCTCCTGCCACCTCGGCGCGCTTCTCTTCCCCTTTGGCTGGCTCTACTTCTTAAACGCCAACGCCGCGCAAATATCCTTCCTCCGCCCTGGCTCCATCCAGAATCTCTTTCCCTCATCCTCGAGATCGAAACCCAACACCACGAGTACCAGCATGCATTCTCCCCGCCGCCTCCACTTCCAGGCCAACCAAGCCTTCGAGATCGCGGACAACGACCCGTCTCTATGCCTCGCTATACCCCGGATGGCGGACGGTACTACCCAGCACCGCCATTCCTACCCCAGAATGTCGCGCAGGACCATGTTCCATCTGGCGAGCCCCCATCGCTGCCATTTCACTGGCTAGAGATTGGAACGATGCTTCTTGATGCCGCCAGTGATGACTTAGTGGACCCGGACCAGACCCGGAGGCTCTTGAAAGAACTGCGTGAGGTGCGAACGGCTAAGATAAGATCAGGCGTGGATGCGCTAGATGCTGCTTCCACTGGCGGGGGTGGAGTAGCACTAACCGGTGTCGGGGCGATGGAGGTTGGAGAGGGGAGAGGGTTCATTGCTGGTGTTGTCGATGGACTAAGGTAGGCTACCCATCCACCTTGCTGGAAGAGGACGAATAGTTCATTGCTGACCTCAAACTTTACTGAACAGAAAAATTGGTGCATCAAAAGAGCAAGCGCGGAGAGAGCAGATGGCAGAAGATATGGCCAATGGTGGATATGACGCTACGCAAGACGACGATGATGAGATGGAGTTCTAAAGGATGCGTCTTTCATGATCTGCTCATTTATCTTCACAGCTGAGGTTTCGTCATCTCAGCATTTGATTCGCCTGCGGCCTGACCAGCCATAGGCTTGGACACGGCCTTGTTGCGAGGATTGCAACCTCGTGGTCCACAAGCTCTCTCTTGGTAGCGTATGAGGAATGGGAGATACCTTTCCGGTATATCCTCAGTATCAAGACAGCAACTTCAATGGAAAGAGGTGTGACGTCGCGACTTATACATGATAGATGGTTTCATGTTGGATAACCGAATGATTGAATGTGGTCAGCTAATGTATTTAACTCTTGTTCATATATACCCACTTAGAAATACGATCTATAACCCGCCTGAGGGTGTACCTATGGATTATCACTGTGCGTCTCATGAACGAGCATTTTACAGAGCCTAGTAACTGCTGTTCACATAGTATAGATGCGTGTGGACATGTTGACTTTGACTTGTGCGCTATACAACTCCAACCATCAAATTTGGTGCACACGACATATTGCCTATCCAGGTCATTGCGCTAAAACGGCGGGGACTCGCACTTCCAGATATCACCGGAACATCAATTAGGATATTATGCTAAGTCTTCAAAGTTTAGGTTTAAAAGAGATAAGAGAGGTATACAGTATAAAGACATAAGCTCTGTCTCCCCAACAGAGTATTGAAAAATGGGAAAGAAGAAGAAGGGCGAGCTTTTCAGACGCGGTGAACGCCGTTTAAGAAGCCCGTTCATGTACGGTCGAGGAGATATACCAAAATCTATTGCATGACACATTGACGCCAGCGCTTATGCGTTTTCTGATTGAAGTGTTTGCTGTACATGGGATATATTAGTTTGACGGGGAACCAAAGGCTTTAGGCCTGACAAGAAACAGTGGGTACTCACCACCAACCAATCCATGCCTTCGTTAAGACCCTTACCATCAATAGCCGAACACGCCACGATACTCCAGTTTCTGTCTCGCAGTTCGCCAAGCTTCAGAGCCTCTGAGATCTCTCCCGCTCCCTTGGCGCCCGGCTGGTCCTGCTTGTTGGCGAATACCAGCAGGGCGGCTTCGCTAAGTTCCTCCTCATTTAACATGGCTGCAAGCTCATCCGCAGCTGTGCCCAGTCGTTCAATATCTGTAGAGTCAATGACGAAGATAACAGCAGCGGTGTTAGCGTAGTAGCATCGCCAGTATGGCCGAATAGATGTTTGACCTCCAAGATCCTAAAATAGAAGCAAAGAGGAATTAACAATCCTATTCTTAACGTTGTCGTCTGAATATTCGAGGCGGCCATCGCAGTATGCTTACCCAGACATTGAAATTCAAATTTCTATATGTGACTGATTCGACATTGAAGCCAATAGTAGGTATCGTCGTGACGACCTCGCCGATCTATGAGATTAACCGATCGTCAGCATAGCGTTCGTGCAACATATTTCAAGTAGGGGAGTCATATTGTAACATACCTTCATTCTGTACAGGAGTGTAGTCTTTCCAGCATTATCCTGCACCACATGGTGGATTAGTCTCGAATTTCACTGATGCCTAGTGTAGGACTATAGTCACGTACGAGACCTAAGATGAGAATACGGATTTCCTTCTTTGTCCAGAGGAAGGACCATAGACGCGACAATGAACCACCCATATTGTCGTTTTTGTTAAACAAGACAACGCGACTCTTAATCGGAGGTGGGAGGGCGCAAGGGAGGTGTTGCGGAGGTGTGAGTGTTTGGTGTTGGTCGTATTGACGGCGTAGATGTGGACGGATTCGGGACAAATGGACAATAGGATCAATTCGGGGATTTCACGAGTGGGTTTCCAACAGTCTAGTGGTGATTTACTGACGAAGGAAAAAGAGAAATCGGTATCACAATAATGACGAACAACACAGACGCAATAGCTGACTAAATGGTGTATGAATGGGAGGGATTTCTGGATTGTGGCAACGATTGGCCGTGCGGATGGGCTGCGGCGCCGATCGGTGTTGGCCCAAGCTCAGCCTTTCTCTCTCTTGGGTCATGGGGATGGAGAGACCCTGCGCCATTGCGAGTGGCAGAATTAAAATGAATTGATTGCCGCGCAGGTTCCATTCCATCCTCACCTGCCGTTATTGTTACAACCCTTTTCTATAACCTATCTCTGCCTCCTATCTCTCGTCTCCCCAACAACGTCACCAACCACCCCCGATGGTGTCCGCTCCGATTGTCCACCTCTAGAATTAACCCCCCAATTGAAGAACTTCCTGCGATCGGCTTGCGACCAGCGCCGCATTACGTCCCGAACCAACTTAACATCGTTCATAGTCACCCCTCTATCCCTGATATCGCCAAATAGCACACCATGGTTGGCAAGAAATCTGGCAAGGCCCTCCTTCGGGATGAAGGTATGCTCACCCAATATCATTGTGCATGAATGGCTACAAGTGACCGGTGGAAGCCAGATGCGCTTCGCTGAGAGCAATGCGCTAATGGTTTGATGCTCCCTAGGCCTCGAAAGGACAGACAACAACATGGAATTATCGAGCTGGCCTCAGATCCCTCCCATCAACCAAAAGAACTATTACACGTACGTGGTTCGCCTACACCATGGCGCTTTCAGTAGCGTCCTGTTCGGACAATGTACTGAATAAGTTCTAGTGACTACCTTAAGAGAGATGACCAGTATCTGGCATTCCGACTACAGAATGAAGAAGCGCGAAATCGCATGGCCAAAACAGCCAAAGACCGGGACCGTGCTCTAGCTATGGCCAAAGCGAATGACCTCGGCCTCCCAGAAGCTGATGCTGACGATGGCGATACCAACATGGAGGATGCAGAGGAGGCTACAGCAGAAGCCATTGGTTCGAAGGTCATTGTCATACATGTTGGCAGCCAGAATCTGCGAATCGGACTTGCCAGTGATGCGTTACCGAAAACCGTTCCGATGGTCATTGCGCGGAAGTCTACAACCAGCGAGTCTGAGGACCGCGAAGAGCCTTGCCCTAAACGATTGAAAACAGATGATGGCTCCGAGTTGGAACCAGAGAAAATGTTTGGTTCTGAGGTTGGTTCTCGTGTCCTCTTCGTTGCAGCCTTAGCCTAACTTTGTGTATTATCTGGTTACAGTTCTCATCACAGTATACTACGATGGCTGCGGAACTCAAAACGCACATGCGGCAAAATAAACGCAGGACTCTCCCGAACTCCAAGGAAATGGTAATCAACTACAACCGAAGAACTGTGCCAGAAACGATCTCAGAACACAATGACCCAATGCGGGTTGAATGGACCGAGATCCCGGACGCTGCGCCGGAATATATAGTAGGCCAGGCAGCTTTGAGAATCCCAGATGCGTCGACACCTCGTTACAAGCTCTACTGGCCAATGAAGTATGGATGGTGTAATGAGCGAGACTACAATAGCAAAAGACTCTTGTTCCTGGATATCTCGTTGATTCTTGAAGATGCAATCAAGAATCAGCTGGGCCTTACAAGTAAAAAGGACTGGCTACAGTACTCATGCGTGTTTGTCATTCCAGATCTTTATGAGAAATCCTACGTCACCCAAGTTCTTGAAATGCTCATGAGGGAGTTTTCCTTTGCCCGCGTCTGCTTCATCCAGGAGAGCTTGGCTGCTACATTTGGGGCAGGATTTACATCGGCTTGTGTGGTCGACATCGGTGCGCAGAAGACTTCGATTTGTTGTGTGGAAGAAGGAATGTGCATAGAGAACTCGCGTGTGAATCTCAAATACGGCGGATCGGATGTGACAGAGGCATTCGTCAAAATGATGTTGTACGATCATTTTCCTTATGCGGACATCAATCTATGGCGTCGGTACGATTTTCTACTTGCCGAGGAGCTGAAAAAGAACATCTGCACCATGAACGAAGCCAGTGTCTCAGTACAAGTGTTCGACTTCCACCTCCGGGTCGCCGGCCAGGATACCAGAAAGTACACCTTCAAAGCTTACGACGAGGTGCATCTGGCGCCCTTGGGATACTTCCAGCCATCCATTTTCGACCATTCACTAAAGCTCAACGGACGAAGGCAATTGATATCCCGTTCAGTCGACATCTATGACGGCCAACCAAACGACCCAACATCGGCAGCGCAATCAGAACTCTTAACCGCGATTGCTCCTCCTATCAGTGGCCAGGTGGATGGCGACATCCAGTCTAGTACTCTGGATGTGCAGTCGACTCCGAGCCGGTCCCAGCAAGTAAATGCCCTTAGTCGCCTACAAGAAACAGAAGCTACTCCTCGATCTTCCGTTGCCGGATCTCCTGCACCAGAGGTGACGAGTACTCCTCAAGCTGGTGGTGCTGGTACACCTGCGGTCGGTGGACAGAGCCAAAGCACATCGCAGCCTCGTGCACCGACCGTTGAAGAACGAGATGATATACTGCCAACATTCCCACTTGACAGTGCGATTCTTATGTCTATTGCCCATGCTGCTCGATCTGATGAACGTAAAATGCGAGACTTCCTTGGAGGTATCATGCTTGTTGGAGGCGGAAGCTTGACCAACGGATTTCACTCGTTCCTTGAAGAGCGACTGCAGGCACTTCGACCTGGGTTTGCTAAAGAGATAATGATTGGCACCCCTCCTCGAGATCTTGATCCTCAGGTGGTTGTATGGAAGGGCGCAAGCGTATTCGGGAAGTTGAGCGGAACCAATGACAGCTGGATTGGACAGCTGGAGTACGACCGGCTAGGTCATAGACTAATGGCCTACAAGTGCATGTGGGCTTATTGATTCTATGTCTTTCTTTCCTTTGATATTCTTTGCTATCATTATCTCTTTATACTCTGAATGACGGTATTGACATTATGGGACGCCTTTGTTCGAAAGGATCTGTACTTTAGATGATTGGTTATGCATGGAACAATTCACTTTGGATGAAGTGCATGCACTTGTATACATAATGAGTGAAAGCTAGAGTAGCACATGGCATTATTATAACCAACAATTCACATATTCCTAGGACCATACTACCTACAGGGTATACATACCTTCCTCGGACCAACATTGATCCGCCTACAGTCCACCCAATCACACGAAACCTTAAACTGCAAGGCGGTGAAATAGTGCAGAATGGATCCTCCAACCCCAAGTAAGTTTGCCCATGCAGTCTGTTTTTGATAAAGCTGGAAGCTAGGTCGTTCTAAACCTGTCCAATCTTCTCAGAGCTTACTCCTCTTGAAACTATCAATCGCGTCTCGACTGATCGCGTAGTTTCAGATAACGAAGTTCCTGATATTACCCTTTCTCCTCCATGTGAGTGCAAAAGAATGTCGCAGTGGATTCGGAGCTGCTACTGATCAACGTACTATGCAGTGGTTTCCCCACCTTTCATTGAGACACAAGCCCAGGAGACGGCCGACGCTGGTAGCTCGAAGATGTCGAAGAGCAAGGATGGCACCTCCTCCGGGGGTTTTCATCAGGAGTACATCGCGTCTTTGCGTTATCGGAATGACCTTCCTCCTCCTGATATGCCCCCGAAGTTCCTTGATATTCCACACGACGGACTAGAGCGTTTCCTTACGCCAGGGTTTGCCTCTAACTTGGCACGTCGTGAAGAACCAAATATTGATGTAGATGCTGAGGGCGGTATGCCCATTGACCTGGTTGGCATCCCAGGCTTGCACTTGGGCGATGAAAGTGGTACGTAACTTATTCATAGGGCGCATCGCGATATGACATGGCTAACGGAGATTATGCATACAGCAATCATGGCACCAGAAAATCCGGATCCAATTGACCCCGCCGACCTTCCCCTTTTGATGACTTTAGACCAGCTAAAGAACCCAGCACCGCGGAATGCGAACGTTAGTTTTCTTCGTCGCACACAGTACATTTCGGCCGGCCTTCGAGCACCGGAAGGTCCCAAAGTCACACCAATGCGATCGAAATCTCGTCCAGCTGAAAAAGCTAAGTCCCAGGACGACCCGGCTTACATCAAGAAATACATACAAAAGGGATTTGATATTGCGTACCCCGAAAGCAAGCACGTTGGGGAAGACACACCCAGCCAAATCAAAGGGCACATGCCCACTAAACTTGAAGCTGATGCATGGGCCAATCCTGTGCATCCGGACAATCCTAAGTTGAAACCCGTCGGCTTTTACCCTCTCCTGCCCGACCTCCAAGGATTCCCAGACCCTGGTGGTTTCGTCCAATTCAAGTTTGACAAAGCACCTATTCAAGATGCGTCCGGCAAGCGCGACAGGCGTATGGACACCGGTATCTTGCTTCCCTCCGCACCGGAGGAGCGCGTATGTGAGGAACATGCGACGAAAGTGGCTCTGCACAAGACGAACCCCAAGTTGTACCCTGATCCTGGCCCAATTCCCTGGGATTATGATCTCTTCCTCCCTGAGAAGAAGGATTCTATCAAGAAGGTTCTCGCAAGCTTGCAGATATATAACCCCAACCGCGACAATGAGGAGCTCTACACCCACGAAGGTTCTGATAACTCGAGGTTCCACCGTTTCGATCGCATGCGTACTTTTGCCACGAGCGCTCAGACGCTTGGTGGTGACCACAAGCAGAAAGATATTGCAGTGACACTTTTCAATCCGTCAGAGGCGAAGGAAGGTTATATGTCCTCGAAGCAGAAGGCTGCATACTATTACCCTATTCTCGGGAAGACTCGCCTGAAGCC